GGCTCCAAGAATTTTATTTATTATTCTGTTATCATACTTTTCCACAGATAATCCTTTTTGGTAATGTGGCCTACAATATTTGTTCTGGGATTTTTGGAATTCTAAACCCACCTTGCTTGAGTAATCAGTAAAACTAAAAAGTGTTGATCTGAAGTTGCAGTTTGCCAGATTGTTGAAAATGAAACTTGGTTTTTTGTTGCGTGTGAGTTGCGTTTCTCTCTGTTGCAGTGAGAGAAGAAAGGCTTCCCAGCTCTGTGATGTTCCTCTGCTCTAGTGACTCACTCTTGCCTTTGAATAACAACGTTCCTTTTTCCCTTTGTTGACCAGCTCATGCCAGCAGAAAGTTTATTTTTCTCTGTGTGCACCCTTCTCTGTAACAATGGGCACTTGTTTGTCTTGATAATGAATTCTAGTAGATTTTTAACTCCAACAGTAAAATCATTCACCTTTGACCCTAAACAGGCCGTTTCTGCTGGAAAGCTATCCAATGTGGATGGATTCAAACATTTCTGTGAAGAAGAGAGATACAAAACTCCTCGACAGAGATGAAAAAACAGTTATCCCAAACCATCAGTAGTGTTAGAACTTGTTAGTAGGGTTACTGCTTCACTCAGAACAAGTTGTGAATAGATTTGTTCATGTATACATTTATTATTATGTTTCATCCCGCATTTCCATTTAGCATCATGATAATCCCTACAAAGGCCAGATCAAAACAAGGTAATGTCAGTCAAAACACATGTTATTAGGCGTCTGCCTAGGGGTGGGGGGGTGGGGGGGGGGGGGGGGTATTGTCATGTGCCGGGGTGAGTACTGCTCTCATTTTCCCATCTTTGAGTTGTGTGTTTCAGGAGAGGGAGGATTTGCAATCAGTGGGTCTGTCTACAAAGGGAGGATGGAGAACACTCCTCGACGCTGGATGATTACTACAGCTTGGTAGTTTCCTGCCGTCTGCGACTCTTGGAATTTGTGCTCTAATGTTTCTAGGACTTTTTGTGAACCTTTGGATCTTTTCCCTCTGCTTACCCATTACCAGCTTTTGGAACGTTTTTGGACTTATGTGACTTCTCTGGATTACTCAACTGTGCCCCCAAAGGATTTCCGGACGCAGCTCTCACCGTTCTCTATTCCTCCTGGCCGGCCCGCTCTCCTGCTCTCCTCTTGCTCCCTCTCCTGGACACCCCAATTGGATTCACCCCGGCACCCAACCTACCCTCCCTCATTCCTACGCTCCCCTACTCCCAGTAAGTCTATTCTCTGCACCCACCAAGTTTAGACTTACCTTCCTGGACTCACCTGTCTCTGCTCTCCCCTCCTCAGACGCTGCACTCCCGTTCTCGATCTCCCCTGGGCTTTTCCAGTGCACCTTCAGTTCCCGTTTTAAAATAAAGATTCTTTTTTTTACCATAAGATCTGTGAGTGTGTGATTCTGCATGTCTTGGGTTAAACGCATTCCCCAAACCATGTTAAGCACTTCTATTTGTTGTTTTAAAGACGTGTTCAAGTCATTTAGAACAGAGGAAAGGGCCGCAGCGAACTCTGCTTCAGTCGCTATGTTTATGACAGACTCGGCATTGTGGTGTTTACGTACGATACTCAGCTCTGATTGGCTCGGTTAGAATTCTCAGGGGGTGGGGTTATTTCAGTAGGAGAGTTCCCAGACCCTTTCTCTCTGCAGAATTAAACAGAGGAGGAGTCTGGCAGGCCAGGCTGACCATCAAGGTTAAATGTCTCCTCATCAGAGCACTGGTGAAGGTTCTCAGTCATCCAGCTCATGGTAATCCAAAAGAGTTTGAAGGAAGGCAACTTCATTCCTGCCTTTGGATTCTCATCAGAGAATAAAACTGTCTTCCAGTAAAACATTTGGTGCTTTCTTGCAAAGTCCAAAAGTGCCTCTAGGGAGGGGGGTTGGGGCTTCTCCACCAGCAGTCTCCCTTGGGTCTCTGCAGTCCGGGGTAGCCCTCTGTGGTTTGGAACTCCTCCATCTTCCACGGGTCTTTGGGGGCAGGTCTGTGGTTCATCATACTCACTATCGAACACTCCTATAGAGAAACCTCACACACACGGTGCTCTTGCAAATATGGACTTGGGCATTTTTGACACATTACCTAAGGCTATGGTTGGCACTAAATGCACTATGAATTATTACCGTGTACTTTTCAGCAAAAATTGTTACTTTTATATTTCCTCACTCAGTTGGCGCAGTGATATTTTGGTTCTGTTGTATTTTTATATGTCAGGTCTAGAAGTGGATTCTTGCACATCCTTGTTTATTTTTGTGAACATTGTGTGAACTCTTTGTAGGTCAAGGATCGTTCAGTGTCTTGATGGACAGCCAATTCAATTGCCCAGCTCTTTTTGGGGTTTCTACTTGACTTGTTTTGTTCCATAATTCTCAGTATCATTTTAAAAATTCCCCAAAACTGTCTTACTGCATCCCACCTTAGCAGCGTGTGCTAATGCAGTTCAATTCAATTCAATTTTATTTATATAGCGCCAAATCACGACAAGAGTCGTCTGAGGGCACTTTGCAAAATAAACATTCCAATACAGGTCAGTTCATTAAGCCGATAAGAAAAAATGTTTCCTATATAAGGAACCCAGCAAATTGCATTGAGTCACTGACTAGTGTCAGTCTTTACAGCAATCCTCATACTCACCCATTCTTTCCACAGGAGCCGTCCACAGCACGTTACTGCAGCAGCACGTCTTGCTCGCGTAAACTGCTGCTTGGCCCTTCCCATGAGATGCGAAGCAGCAGGGGAGCAGCTGTCACCGACCGAGCAGGAAGTCACACGAGTGACTTCGTCAGTAAACACAACAACAAGCAGGAAAAAACTACAACATGGCTCCAACAGGTTTGTGTTTTATGTTCTGTCCGTTTTATAATTGCCAATACGGACCTGAAAAACAAAGGAGACCGCTAGCTAGGTGATAACTTCTCACGGGGCCGCAGTTAGTAACTTCTTTTAAAAGTAAAGCAACCGGAAGGCAGTACGTTTCTTTATTCTGAAAATCTCGGGAGCTTCTCTCCATTTCCACGTCCGATTTCCTGTCTTTCCATCCCCCAAAATGTCTAAATTGACCCGTTTCAGAGGCGTTGCACGTAGAAAATAGAATAGGCGCGTAAAGGCCGCGACATGCTGCTCCTGAGACACGGCCGACTCGCGCTGCTGACGGCTCCAGTGGAAAAGGTTCTGTTGACCACAGCAGTTCCTATCAGCAGCTATGACGTGCTGCTGCAGTAACATCCTGCTGACAGCTCCGGTGGAAAGCCGGGGTAAGCAAGCATGCAGCGACAGTGGAGAGGAAAACTGCCTTTTAACAGGAAGAAACCTCCAGAGGATACTGGCTCAGTATGAGCAGCCATCCACCACGACTCACTGGGGGTGGAGAAGACACACACACACACACACACACACACACACACACACACACACACACACACACACACACGCACGCACGCACGCACACACACACACACACACACACACAGCATATATACTAAGTAATGTTTCTATGGTTACATTGTGATTTCTTAGTAAATATTCTATTAGTAGGAGACAAACTTTATCATATTTTTCCTAGTGAAACTATAATTAATTTAACAGGTGAACTAGTAGTAGCACATTCAATGTCATCCATCCATCCAACCATTTTCATCCGCTTATCTGGAGTCGGGTCGCGGGGCAGTAGCCTAAGGCGAGAGGCCCAGACTTCCCTGTCCCCAGCCACTTGGGCCAGCTCCTCTGAGGGAATCCCAAGGTGTTCCCTGGCCAGGTGAGAGACATAGTCCCTCCACCGTGTCCTGGGTCTACCTTTAGGACTTTATAATTATACTTTATAATACCTTTAGGAATCTATAATTAAACGGGTAAAATAGCAGTAGCGCATTCAATGTCAAAGAAAGTAAAAAGTTATTATCAGGAGAGGGAGAATGTTTAAGTGGTTAGTAGCAGTGTGCTAGACGATGGCCCCGTCCATGAGGCCACCACAGCTCAGCAGAACATCATCGTAGCTTCCTCTGGGGAGAAAAACACTTAGAGAGAAAATAAAGTTAACAGCTGAAATAGCAGGAAATAATACTTAAAGAGCAGATTGTAGAAGAAAGTAGTAGAGTGTGAAAAGTGGTCAGTGTGTCCTCCAGCAGTCTAAGCCTGTAGCAGCATAACAACAGAGATAACTCTGGATAACCTATCCTATTTAGATGGAGGCATGTGGGAGGCAGGGCAAGGGAGAGCCGTCTTTACCGACTGTACACTCCACCTCCCTGTACTCCCCCACTTGTCCAGATTTAGGCTAACATCAGATTTTAACCATAGGCCCTATCAAATAAAAATGTTTTAAGCCTAGTCTTAAAAGTAGACAAGGTGTCTGCCTCACGGACTAAAGCTGGGAGCTGGTTCCACAGGAGAGGAGCCTGATAACTAAAAGGTCTGCCTCCCATCCTAATTTTAGATATTCTGGGAACCACCAGTAGACCTGCAGTCTGAGAGCGAAGTGCTCGGTTAGGAACATATGGAACAATCAGATCACTGATGTATGATGGACCTTGATTATTAAGAGCGTTATATGTGAGAAGAAGGATCTTAAAATCTATTCTGAATTTAACAGGCAGCCAATGTAGGGAAGCTAAGACAGGAGAGATATGATCTCTCTTTGTAATTCTCATCAGAACTCTAGCTGCAGCATTTTGGACAAGCTGAAGACTTTTAACTACATTCTGTGGACTGTGGATGAATTACAGTAATCCAGTCTTGATGTAATAAATGCATGAACTAGTTTTTCAGCATCACTCCTGGAAAGGGTGCTTCTAATCTTAGCAATATTCCGAAGGTGGAAAAAGGAAATCCTACAAACTTGTGAAACCTGGGATTTAAATGACATGTCCTGGTCAAAGATAACACCAAGGTTCAAAAACCTGACCATATTCAAAAACAGAAAGGTTTTGTGCCATTGCCATCACAATTTAAAATGACAATTAATCAAAAAATTTTTTGCACTGATTGGACATTTGAAAGGAACTTGGTCTCAAACTTTTAATCATCTGTGAAACAGCCTGCTTCTGTTTAAAACATGGTTTCCACAAATTTTTGCTCAGAAAATGTTTTGACTCTTAATTTCTTCTTGTGGCATGTTAAAGCTCTACTTTGCATCTTGTTAAGATGCAATGTATGATTTTTGGCCATTTTTTGGAAAACTTTGACTGTTACTATATAACAAGCTTCTGGTATGGTGTGGCATGGTTCTTTTGTAAAATTGGGCCATAAAACCTACCCAGATTGTGCCATTAACGGGCCTGCTTCATTTGTGGGTTTATAGGGCATTGGAGCAGTACGGTTAGCGCAGATGGACTTTATATAATTTTTACTTGTGTGTGTGTGTGTGTGAGTCTGTGTGTGTGTGTGTGTGCTTGCATATGTTTGTTAATGTTTTTAACCAGTTATGGGAATCTGGGGTCATTTTGTAAAGCACTTTGAATCACACTTTGTTTGAAAAGCGCTTTAGAAATAAAATTTGATTTGATTTGATTTGATTTATCACTCGACACGGTCCAATAACTTGGGAACAGAAAAATGTCACTGCTAGAAACAAGTAAAGTCAACAGCAGAGTGCTGTTGACTGTATTGTTATTTGCACGTGGACGTAAGAAGATGCCAGCAAGTTGTAGCAAGTTTTGGTTGGTTGGTTTCTGAGTTACAAACATGCCTCACTAAAGCTGGCGGTACACATTTATGTTTACCCCACATGCTGAGCGAGGGTCTTTCCTGAAATCGCGATCCACAGACTGGCCAATGACGACCCGCTCTGACCCTTTCTGGACCAATCAATAGAGCCATGACATTAGAGCTTCAGTACCATGCATGCTATCATGTTGTCAGCTAATTTTTCAATGGCTTTGTGTGTTTGCTTGTTCAGCCTGCTGCTCTGTGATTAGTTGTCCCTGATCATCACCGGAGTGTTAATCAGAGGGATTTGTAGCTTTACTGTGACGCACTCCGACTTTTGTTTTGGAGCTGGATTGGTTAGAAACCGCTTTCACTGCAGGATGATGTATCATAACTGTTATAAGGTTTGTCTTTTGGCCTGATGAGGAAGTGAGAATCATGTTTATGTGTTAGCAGTACCACGGCTGTCTGTGACAAACACATGAAAGGCCACAGCTTGAATCTAATCCAGGCTGTCAGCAGCAGCTATCCAAAGCCCTGCTTCTCATCTCTCTTCACACAGACCTACTGGGAGTCACCGTCCCACGCCAAACACTCCTGGGTAACAGGACTGCGTGTGTGTGAGCATGCACGCACACATTCCCTCTGATATAAACACAAAATCCATAAAAATGTACACCCACAAACTTTGCCAATTCCCTCTGAGGTTTGCAGAATCAATAAACAATGAGCATCCTAGGACACGCACAAGGCGGCCAGCTCACAAGCACACATGCAAAAACAATCATGGCAAAACCAAGCTCAGCGGGCTGGAATATTCTACAGCTGACGTGCCCCTGCTCGGCCACACACGCCCCCCTCTGAGCTAGCTTTGTGTCAACACTAGTGTCTCTCTTTTTACCTCCAGGTTAAATATGTTAGCTGAAAGTTGCCATGACGACACTGGGTTTTCATTGGTGGTCACATAAGAACCAGCCCCTAAGATCTTTCTTTGGTTTTGGAAGGAAGCAGCATGGGTTTGGATACTGAACTGGTTTTCTGTGGCGACCAAATGAGATGTCAGGAGGGAAAAGGCTAAATGACAAGCTGTCTAGGTTTACCATGTATGGTATTTATGATAGCAAGAAAATACATTTGTGGGAAAATGTTTGTGATTGTTTCAAGTCAAAAACAGAGAGACGCAGACTGGAGGTTAGAAGAAAGCCGCCTAATGGGGAATTCTTCAAAAGCTGGTTTGAAGGTTCTGAACATGTGTGTTTTGTTTCTTGCATCACTTTTGCTTGTAGAGATTTCAAAAGGTGAGTTTAGAGTAAATGATATTGCTTGATAAATATTATTTCTTTCCTGTTTTGAATTCTGACTTCCTGCCAGAAATGTCCTGATTATCCAACTGAAAGAACAAAAGCCTTTCACCGTAAATAAAAAGTTAGATTACAGAAATGAATTTGCTACCTTTACTCATGAAGAGATCTCCTCTTTTGCTGCACAAAAACATGTGGTGATATTTTTTATACACAACACTTTTTCAATTTGTCAAAGTCATCTAATTACAAAGTACTTTTGATTATAGCCTTTTCATTTGGTCCTAGAAGTACACGTCAGATTCCCACCACACCAGGGTGAACTCGCCGACGGCACAGCCGAAGCCATCAGCAGGCCACCTCTTTATACCAGCCCTAATGAGTGAATCAGTAGCAAACTGTCTGCTGATTTTATAATGACAGAAAAACAGAAATCACCACCAGGTTTAGTGCAGTTTGGAACTAGAAAAGGTAAATAATTCCGTCTGAAACATGTTTAAATGCTTCTGTAAATCAAATGCCTCAACTTA